TTTTAAAAAATCGTTATCAAAAATAATATCCTCAGGATTTTCCTGGTGGTCCACTGGCTAAGACTCTGCAACTCCCAATGCAGGGTGTCCAGGTTTGATCCCTGGTCAGGGAACTAGATCCCACATGCCACAACTAAAGGTTCTGCATGCTGCAACTAAGACCTGGTGCAGCCAAATAAATAAATAAAAATGTAAAAATAGTAATAAGAGCCTCAATCAATAGCCCCTAAATAAAGTTATTTAAAATAACTTTAAATCAGCCTGAAAATCTCATTATTATTATTATACCTACAATTTTCATTGTGTGTTAGTTGCTCAGCCATGTCCAACTCTTTGTGACCCCATGGACTGTAGCCCACCAGGCTCCTCTGTCCATGGGATTTTCCAGGCAAGAATACTGGAGGGAGTTACCATTGCCTTCTCCAGGGAATCTTCCTGACCCCGGATTGAACCTGGGTCTTCCAAATTGCAGGCAGATTCTTTACTATCTGAGCCACCAGGGAATACGCTGTGAAATATTAGGTGGGGCAAAAGAGTAACAGGACATGTGTGATTTAAATAGGATAACCGTGGTGTTGACTGGACTGTTATATGAAAGCAAACACAATGCTGTCCAGGGACTCCTTATTCCTAGACAAGAATCCTAGACCACCTCAGGGAAATCACATTGACATGAGGAAGGTCAAGTGGCAGGAACTGTCAGGCAGCAATGCTGTATCAGATAAACACAGCATTAGGCTATATGAGCCATGCTGATGCCTAAAGGGAAAATTCTTCATTTGTTTCCCCTTTTATTTTTTTCACTGAAAATCTAACTAATAGGAAATAACATTCACTTCAACTGAAAAAAAAACTTTCCCTTTCCCTCCCTGACTCTGAAAATGAACTAGTAATACTGTAAAGTAGAAAACTACTTAAATCTCAGCTTCCCTGAAGAGTTTATGTTTGGCATACTAGAGATATTTCCAACACCATTCCTTAAATTCCTCCAAAGACCTCTCCCACTTACAGCAGGATTTGCCCAAGATTTCAATAAGGACTTTTTCTTCACAAGCTTCAATATTCAAAGTTACTTGGAAATTGTAATGGAAATATAAATAGGTGAAAAAAATAGTTTAAAAAGATCCCATGTATTCTCCTAATCCTAATCTCCAAAATATACAATGTATATAAAATTGAAATCCATCTTTAATTATAGGAACATTCTGAGATCCTCTCACACATTTTTCCTAAAAAAATTCAGAAAGATGTCTATCAATCTATAATTATACTATTTTAGTTTTTAAATAATAAAATAGTTATTTTATGATTATTTAAAATAATAAAATAAAATATTCTAAATAATAAAGAATAATTATAATTTTTAGGTCATCTCCTGTACACTTAACCAGTGTGTTCAGTCAGAAAGATACAGGAAAATAATAATGAGTTCCTTCTATATGCCAGGCACTCTTTTAGCTGCATCACAAAAAAAGTGTGAAAGATCTAAGGTTTCATGCCAACTCTGCTATTTGTTACCTGTGTGATACTGGGCCTACTGCTCAAATACTCTGTCTTAATGTCAACATCTTTAGATTCTGGATAATAATAGTTACCTCATAGAGTTACTCTGGGGTTTAAACTAGCTAATGGTTGTAGTCAAGGCTTAGGATCCATAGTTGGCACCTAGTGTTAGCTGTCTATAACCAGTGCCAAGAAGAAAGAACTAAGAACCAGAACTGCAGCAGAAAAGAAAAGTTGGCCAGAATTTCTGGCAAAGAGCTGAGGAATCAAATTAGTATTCTCTCAAGAATCTTCAGCTTTAGGCCTGCATCCATCTGGAGGGAAGGTACAGAGAGCTATTAGGAAGAATCCTTGGGGCAAACTGGTTCTAACACAAAACCAAAGATCACAGATGGGAACAGACTAGCCTCTGGAACTCGATATTTGACTCAAGTTGGATTGGCATGCAGAAGCAATGCAACAGGGTTTGCCTTGAAAAATATGTAACATTATGTAAACTGTTATTACTACATACGTACAAACATCCTAACTTACACAGACATACGCTGCCAAGCAGAGATGGATTTATATGTTGTGTGACTGAAAAGAAGACAACAGATGAGTCAGTGAGAATATCAGAGAAAGCAAGGAATGTGGTAATAAAACTAGGTTAGAGATGTCACATAGGGTGATGACTAAGCATTCAGGCTCTAAAAACAAAATGCTGCACTTAGTTGCGCAGTCGCGTCCAACTGTTGCCACTCCATTGACTGTAGCCGGCCAGGCTCCTCTGTCCACGGGGATTCTTAGGCAAGAATACTGGAGGGGGTCGCCATGCCTTCCTCCAGGGGATCTTCCCAACCCAGGATTTGAACCGGGGTCTCTGGCATTGCAGGCTTTACCAGGTGAGCTACCAGGGAAGCCCCCAAAACAAAATGCCTATTTACAAATATTGGCCAAATACTGGCTCCATCATTTACATTTTAGCATGAACTCAGCCAAGGTAAAATAACTTTTATGTGCCTTAGTTTCCTCTTGTGTAAATATGAATAATATTAATATCTACCTCATAGGCTGTTATAAGGATTAAAAAATTATATATATAAAGTACTTAGAAGATTGCCTGGCACATGGTAAGCATCAGTTTCCTAATCTGTAAAATGGGAACAATAAAACTTATTACTTCATAGGTTGTTATAATAAGTAAATAAATCATATCTGTACAGTGCTTAGTACATAATAAATCAGTATTTGGTATTTTTACTTTAATACCAGTATTTGGTATTTTTATGGGTGGGTACCAAAAATAAATTTTAATCCAGAGAAAAAATTAGTGAAAAATACAGAAAATATCATGAAGAAGTGTTATTCCTATTTTGGTGTTGAATATATTTACTGGGAAGCCATGAGTAACTTGGCACGTTTATCCTCTTTCCCCTGTATAAAACACATATGAATCACTCCATCTCTGAGATCTGTCAAAGGATTTAAGACAAAGAAAATTACAGAAGACACCAAAAAAAGGAAGAAGAAGAAGAAACCACACCTAAAACAGTAATTCTGAAATAATATTCCTCTCAATCTTCATTCACTGACAAAGAAAAAAGAAAACTTAGTAACTAAATTAATGACCAAAAACTATTTACAATCTTACTTACAGAGAAAATTGACAAAATGGGCACTCACAAAGAAATTTCCTATGACAAGCCTACTGAAGAACAAAACAAATGTTGGCATTAAGAATTTAAAGGTCAATTAATTGGAATCCAAATAAGCATAACTTTTTATATCTTCTTATAAAGAAAGTCCATAAAGAAACCAGGAGAGTACAACAGTCAAGGGAACCAAGAAAATTTTAAGTAGGAGGCTGTGGTCAACAGTGGGCCAACTGTTGAAGGGCTGAGGTACCTGAAACGCTTGGGAAATGTCCAGTGAGGTTAAGCAGCAAGGTTATAATTAGCAATATTGCTGAAATCATTACATGGGGGACAATCATAGTACAACCTGGGAAATGATTTTTACAGAGAGAGGAACAAAAGACAAAGCATGAGTCACTAACTGAGTTAGGATAAGCTTTCCCAACTTGGAGATAATCAAACTGGGACTTTTTTTCAAGTTAAAATTTTTATTTTAATAGTAACAAATAAAGTAAATTGATAGTGGGGATTCATTCCACAAAACCTATGACCAGGTCACCCTCTAGCCCAAAGTGAATAGAGTAACTTCAGTTTTTCCATCTAAAAGCTGTTAATGCACAAAATTTAAGAAGATACATATGAAAGTTTAAACTCAATGGTGTTTTACTGGATTTTATTACAATTCTTCTGTGCTAAGAGATTTCTTGGTTAGCAATGCAAGTAAAATTTAACATGATTTTTAGAGATGTGATAATGTGTACCAGTCTCCACTCTAAAAGGATTATGCAGGCTAGAGTTTAAGAAACCACCTGTAAGTTCTCCTGGTCAGTTCTGAATGATCTTTAACACCATTTATATAGCCATCCAAACACTGCCAATACAAACATAATGTGAGTTACATATATAATTTCAAAACTTCTAGTACCCACATTTAAAGTTAAAAACAGGTAAATAATTTTACTATTTTCTATTTAATCTACTGTCCAAAATATTATCATTTCAACATGTAATCAATATAAAATTATTGCACAGGTATTTCATATTCTTTTTCCAAACTAAATCTTTGAAATCCAGTGTGTATTTTACATTTCCAACACATATCAATTTGAACTAGTCTCATTTACAGTATTCACTAACCGCTTGTGGTTGTGCCTGCCACATTGGACATTGCAGGGCTAGAATCCAAGCTCCCTGGAAATAGCAACATGCATTGTCTTATTCACAGATTTGTAACTGTAGCATTAAGAACAGTGTCTGGCACAAACACACTGCAATGAATATTTGTTGAATAAATAAACAAATGAATTAATCTACTGGTTTTATACACATATATTAAAAAATCCTATGACATAAATGAAATTTTAATTACATGGCTAGAACTATTAAGAGAAGCACAGAATTATATTAATTCAATTCTATAGTTTAGTGATACAATGTTTGTCAATACAAATTCTAAATAGGTATATACTTCCATATACAATGTTTCACTGTATTTTATCTTACACAGGAAATGAACAATAATCACTTTAAAGATAATTTTTCTAAACATTTAGTAGATCAAAATGCTATCACACCACACTAAAATCAAATAAATTATAGCTGTTCTTTCTAGCATGAATTAATTCCACATTCATCAAATACACACAATTATTACATAGTCCACCAGTATTTGCAAAGAAGTGTTTTTGTCTTAATGTCCAACCCATTCTAAAACTAGCAAAAGAATATGCCCAGTAGAGCATCAGGTCCCTGAAAAAAAATTAAATAATATTCATTATTTTTTAAATGTTTACCTCCTAAAGTACTGAGATTACTTAATATAAATGAAATGGGCCCCAAAGAACTGGTGTTTTACTAACAAAGGTGAGGGAGAAAGCTTACCTTCTCTGCTAAGAGCTCTCGTATCTTGCTTGCTTGAACTCTAAATTTCATGAGCTGGGACTCCAGGGCTACACAACGTTCTTTCCAATCTACTGGCCCTTCTGTCTCAGAAAGCTCTGCCATAATTATTCTAGGAAAGAAAGCATTCAAACAGCATACTATCAATTAGCATTCAGGATAATTCCTTAAATCATCCAATGCACACGTTCTAGACACCATCTAATGATATCTAAATGCAAGTTTTGAATCCTAAGATAAATTCCAGAACCTGGTGACTGCTCATGGAAAGAACTTAGGGGAGAGGAGGCCAGGAAAGGAGGCCCAACTGGGTTATTTAAACTTTCTGTGTAACTTAACCTTTCCATGTCTCAGCAATCTAGAAAAAAGGGCGAATTCAGCAATAACGAACCATTCTTCTCACAGATAGGTAAGGAACAAATTAAATATTGCTGTTCTTACATCACTTTGGACACTATAATAGTATCACACAGAGTACTGTCATTATTTTAGCTCTGCTCAACAGGTAAGATTTTTAAAAATCGGTCAGTTCACAATTTTACCACATTAAATTTACAAAATTATTAGTTTTGCTTCCAGTTGTAGCATCATACGTGCGTGTGCTAAGTCACTTCAGTTGTGCCTGACTCTTTGTGACTCCATGGACTATGGCCTGGCAGGCTCCTCTGTCTATGGGATTCTCCAGGCAAGAATACTGGAGTGGGTTGCCATTCCCTTCTCCAGGGGATCTTCCCTACCCAAGGATCGAACCAGCATCTCTCACGTCTCCTGTAAAAATAACCTAAAGAAACTTCATACCAGTATTTCAATTATGACTTAGATTCGTATTATAATTATTACTTACCACTACCATAAAGTTGTCCAGGTCCAGGTTATCTTTCAAAACAAAAACACTTTGGCACAATTAACTGGGTAAAGTATTATGACCCTGTACAAGCTTAGATAATTTTTATTTGGTGTAAGAAAAGAAGACATATAAATATGAAATTTGGAACCACGTACATTAAATAGATCTGGAGTCAGGGTATTCCATGATAGTAACCTTTTTTTGGAGGAGGTTAATCCCATGGAGAATCACAGTAAGGGGGAAGCCAAGAAGCAGGGGCACAGATTCTGAAATTCTAAAGTGCAAAAAACTATTGCTCGATTTTGAAAACACAATTGTTTCTAGTTCTGGGTGTTGAAAATGTAGTTTTAAATGTTACTATTTCATCAAGTCATTTTCATAAATGGCTTTATAATGTGCTTCTGAATTGCTTTTGGTATGAACTGATAAAATGTGCATTAGGAATGGCTCTTCTGGAGACGTCAAGTCCTAGTCATGGACTCTGTGTGTGTGTTAAGTAGCTTCAGTCAGGGACTATACATGACAGCAAAACTCAGAATCCCCGGACAGAACTGCAGTTGAAGCATATTATTCTGTTCTTTTGTTTTTCAAAAACATGTCTGCTTCACAGATTAACCAAGTTGATTTTCCCAATATTTCGTGCAATATAACCCCTTCTTAAACCTATAACAGTTTTTTAAACCTGCAAATGATTGTTTTCCTAGCATAAATACTGTTTTGTGCTTAGATTAGCTTTCATATTAATACTTATATTACCACTCAATAATTTAGAAGTAAATATAAGCAAAGTTGTTCTACAACGGCTACAACTTCATTAAGAGTCCCCTGGTCATTTCAAAGCCTTCAGATGCTACTAAATTCTAGCCATAATGTAAGGGAATCTTCCTGTAGAGCAAGTAATCATTCTCCTCACTTCCTCATTTTTTCTAAAAGCCCCATCCCATTGTTTTATGAGTTTTCCCTAAGGATATCAACCATGTTAATTACCTTTTTCATTATTCATAATAGCATTTACTATCAATGCACACATTGATAGTAATCAATTCTACTGCTACTTCATTTCTTTTCTCATTAGCTTTAGACTGGACAAAGAAGAAAATACAGATGAAATCTTAAAAATAGAAAGCAGACCTGAAATGAAATGCTTAAGTCTTGAACCATTCTTATCACTGCGCAGAAATATAGGGAAGCTTCTATGTCTTAAGTAACAAGAAGAGTATTTCATACTGATAAATTTTTGCTGTACACTTAAAATTACCTTTTAAGTTCCACTATAAAATTTCTACAGCTTTAAAAATGACAAAAATTTTTCAACAAGTGAAAATCAGTGTAATGAACCATATGAACAGAATAAAAGACAAAAACCATATGATCATTTCAACAGACACAGAGAAAATGACTTGACAAAACTCAACATTATTGTATGATTAAAAACATTCAACAAACTATTAATAGCAATATAAGTTAACTTCCTCACCCTGATATACAAGTATCCACGGAAGCCCACAGCTAACATCACACTTAATTGTAAATGAATGATCCATGTAAGATCAGGAACAACATAAGGGTGTTTGTTTTCGCCACTTCTAATGTGTCATACTGGCCAGTACAAGAAAATAAATTAGGAAACACACAGATTGGAAAGGAAAAACTAAAACTATCTCTATTTTAAGATGCCATGGTCTTATATACAGAAACTTCCAAGTAATCCATTAAGAAAAGAAAGAAAGAAAAAAGCTATTAGAACTAGTTGAGATCGGAAAAGTTTCAGGAAACCAGATCACTATATGAAAATTAATTGTTTTTCTATACACTTGCAAGGAAAACTCCAGAAATGAAATCAAGATTATATTCCACTTACACCAGCATCAGAAAGAATTAAATACTTAGGAGTAAATTTAACAAAAGAAGTACAAGATTTGTACTCTGAAAACTAAAAATCATCATTGAAAGAAATTAAAGAAGACCTAAAGAAATGGAAGACTTTGTATGGATGGCAATACCTGCAAATGGATATACACATTCGATACAATATCTAACAAAATTTTAACTACATTTTTTGCAGAAACTGATAAGCTGATCCTGTAATGCATACAAAAATTCAGAATACTCAAAACAATCTTAAAGACTCACACAATTTCAAAAATTACTGCAAAGCTATAGTAATTAAGACTGTGTGGTACTAGCATAAAGATAGATACATAGATAGATGGATAGATAGATCAACAGAATAAAATTATGAGTATAGAAATAAAGAAATAAGGATGGGGACAAGAATAGGTGAAGGGGATCAAGTGGCACAAACCTCTTATATTAGCTATATAACAAATAAGGGCTTCCCTTGTAGCTTAGCTGGTAAAGAATCCGCCTGCAATGTGGGAGACCCTGGTTTGATTCCCGGGACGGGAAGATCTGCTGGAGAAGGGATAGGCTACCCACCCAGTGGGGTGCAGACGACACCACCCTGATGGCAGAAAATGAAGAACTAAAGAGCCTCTTGATGAAAGTGAAAGAGGAGAGTGAAAAAGTTGGCTTAAAGTTCAACATTCAGAAAGTTAAGATCATGTCATCCGGTCCCACTGCTTCATGGCAAACAGATGGGGAAACAGTGGAAACAGTGGCAGACTTTATTTTGGGGGGCTCAAAAATCACTGCAGATGGTGACTGCAGCCATTAAATTAAAAGACACTTACTCCTTGGAAGGAAAGTTATGACCAACCTGCTGCTGCTGCTTCTAAGTCTAGACAGCATATTAAAAAGCAGAGACATTACTTTGCCAACAAAGGTCCATCTAGTCAAGGCTATGGTTTTTCCAGTAGTCATGTATGGATGTGAGAGTTGGACTATAAAGAAAGCTGAGCGCCGAAGAATTGATGCTTTTGAACTGTGGTGTTGGAGAAGACTCTAGAGAGTCCCTTGGACTGCAAGGAGATCCAATCAGTCCATCCTAAAGGAAATCAGTCCTGAGTGTTCATTGGAAGAGTGATGTTGAAGCTGACACTCCAATACTTTGGCCACCTGACGCAAAGAGCTGACTCATTTGAAAAGACCCTGATGCTGGAAAAGATTGAAGGCAGGAGAAGAAGGGGACGACAGAGGATGAGATGGTTGGATGGCATCACCGACTCAATGGACATGAGTCGGGGTAAACTCTGGGAGTTGGTGATGGACAGGGAGGCCTAGCGTGCTGCAATCCATGGGGTTGCAACGAGTTGGAAATGACTGAACAACTGAACTGAACCAACTGAACCCATCCCAGTATTCTTGGGCTTCTCTGGTGGCTCAGCTAGTAAAGAATCCACCTGCAATGTGGCAGACCTGTGTTTGATATCTGGGTTGGGAAGATCCCCTGGAGAAGGGAACAGCTACCCACTCTAGTATTCGGGCCTGGAGAATTCCATGGACTGTGTATAGCCCATGGGGACACAACTGAGCAACTTTCACCTTACCAAATAAGTCATAGGGAGGTAATATACAGCATAAGGAATATGGTCAATGTATTAACTTTGTATGGGAATAGGTGGTTGTTAGACTTATGAGGATCATTTCATAACGTATGCAAACAAGAAATCATTATGTAGTATACCAAAATTAACATAATAATGTACATCAACTCTATTTCAATTATAAAATATATCTATAACAACCATACTTCCAAATAAGATCACATTCTGAGATACTGTGGGTTAGGACTGCAACATTTCTTTTTTGAGGGGAAGGGAGCAATTCAATCCATTTTTAAAAATACACAAATAAAAAACCCTCACATGTAGAGTGAACTGATTTTTGACAAGGTGGAATGAAAAGCTCTTTTTAAATAAATGGTACTAGGCAAATGGACATCCACATGCGAAAGAATAAATTTGGTTCCCCACCTCATACCATACACAAAAATTAGCCCCAAATGGATCAAAGACCTAGATGTAAGAGCTAAGGCTCTAAACTTGTAGTAGAAAAAATAGTCGTTAAGTCTTTGTGATCTTGAATAGACAATAGTTTCCTAATATAACATTTAAAGCATAAGTAATAAAAAATGGATAAATTTAACCTAAAATTAAATATTTTTGTGCTTCAAAGGACACCATCAAGAAAGTGAGGGTTTCCCTAGTGGTCTAGTGGTTAAGAATCCACTGTGCAATGCAGGGGATACGGGTTTGATCCCTGGTGGCATCCTGGTCATGCCACAAGGCAACTAAGCCCATGAGCTGCAACTAGTGAGCTTAAGCCTGGAGCCTGGGTCTGCAACAAGAAACCATGG